TTTCGACTCGAAAAATATATTTTCTCGGGGACTTCGGGACTTGCTTCGAGTGTTAGGGATGTTCCCTAGGATTCGGGGTGGTTTAGAGTAGCTAGAGAGGGTATCGAGAATGAAAGAGTAAGAGAATTAACAACCATTTCCAGAGGGCTTCGCTTGCTATTTATAGGAGGTTGATGCCTCGCATTACGTTGGGCGTAATCTTCATGTAGGCGGGGCGTACTGCCTTGCGAAGTTGTACGTTGGGCATAACTTCAGTACACTGGGCGTACGAGACGTGGCATTAGTTCGTTATCCGGGCCTCGGACGTGTCGATGGGTGAGATATGTGCCTCCGTCTGAAGAAAGAGGTCGACGTGGCCAACTTTTGACCTAGTCCGAGTACACGGGGCGTACGACTTCGGATAAGCTTCAAATTTTATATTTAAAACTTCCAAAATTCATATCTTTTGCATATGGGCTCCGTTTTTGACGTTTTTTATATCCAAGCGTAGGTAAGATTATACTCTAAAACTTTCGTTTAGACTCCGTTTGCTAATTTTAACTTTATTTTTAAAGTTATATTTTTAGCAGGCCGAGACAGGAAAAGTCCGTTAAAAATTAATAACTTCTTCATTTGATGTCTGTTTTGATCTGTCTTTTTACCGTTAAATTACTATCGACGATATCTTTGATTCTCGTTTAGGTAGTGTTGGCTAAAAATTGTTCGATCTAAAATTCGAGTTCGAGGTTGCATACTATTATGCCAAATCTTAGAAAATTCGTAACTTCTTCATACGAATTCAGATTTGAACATTCTTTTTATGTACGATCTCGGTTTAACGTTACTACGAATTTCATTTAAATTTCTAAGGCTAAAAATCACTTTATCGTAAATTTACTTTGTATGTCATACAACATCGTGCCGGTTCTATCGCGAAAGTTTGACATGTCAGAACTTCTTCGTTATAACTCAGATTTCGGTCTTCTTTATATCTTCAGAATCTTTGTTTCACCCACTACAGCTTTCTTCATAGATATTAGCTTTATCTAATATTTATTTTCGACGCTTATTTTTATACTTAATTTATTAAATTATAATAATTAAGTTTAAAGCACATAATTCATTTTTAGTACTTCAAACCACGTTAGAATAGTTGATCTAGACTATTACATCATCTTTAATGTTTATCCTAGAAACACAGGCGTTATAGTGTGTGTGTGTCAATGTCATGATGATCAAAGAACTATATTTGTGGTGAAAAAACTTTATAATCGAGTATTATCATGTCGGATTATCCTCAAGAAATTGGTTAGCTTGTGTGTTTTGAAAAATTTGTCATGGGATGAGATTCTTGAAAAACTCAAAGAACATTTTTTGCTAATTGGAGGAAATATGAAAACTAGAAAAAAATCCGTTAGTTTAAAAAATAATAAGATAACCATGACATAGTACAATACATAATTCCTAAATCACGTGATTTTTGCAATGAAATTAGTACCGAAGGAGGAGAATAATGTTAGTCAATATGTCAATGGACTGCTTTATCTAGTCTCTATAAGTGAATCCACTCATCTAGATAAGGATATGAGAAAGAAGAAGAGTGAAACACGACAAGTAGAATAATAATGTGTGTAGTGGTTAGCTTTCATTGCTTTTAGAATAATTTCCGATGCAATTGTTTGGTTGTAGAATGTTTTCGGATTCGATCTTGGACAAATTATGAAACTTTATTACTAGGATGTTACATATGTGATTCTTGATTCACTGCATGTCATGTGTGCATCTGGACTATAAAAAATATCTCCAACATGTTCATCTTATATATGGAATGTTTTTTTGGGTTATCTTACCTCTCCCTCGTTCAACATCGATGAAACCTAGATTGAGATCCATATGCGCCAAAAGTTCAATACATATAAATTCAAATGTTGTTGAAATAGAGATCAAGATCCATCAAAACAAGTCTTCAACCTTGTGAAAATACATCACTAAAGGTGAACTTATCTAGAAATTGAACATTGTTCTCGTTACACATATATGGAAAGGGAAATGATATGTAAGGAGGTTACATCGATGGTGTTCATAGCGACAATAAAGTATGCCATGTCATAAGAGATCATATAATCAAATAAGATATATATATATATATATATATATATATATATATATATATATATATATATATATATATATATATATTAAATGTATTATTAATGTAACTAGGTGTGAGATCCGTGTACTATAAAAGTTCATTAAAAATAGAAGTTTAATATCAACGTGTAACATTAAACAGTTTTTGAAAAAGATTATAGTACAAGAGGATTTGTGTATCGACATTTATGATTGAACCAGGTACATAAACTGCATGATTGATACCATGGTAAATTGCAATCCATGTAAGAAAGTGGCCTTGATTTAGTTTGGAAAGAGTTATATTGTTATGGAAACATGAGATTCAAAGAGGTAATATCAATGATTGTGCCTTAAGTATAGGAAAATAGAGAGTAGGAAAAGAAATGAATACGGAAGAGTTGATTAACGCATTTAATAGAATTAATATTATATATATATATATATATATATATATATATATATATATATATAAAATATTAATTCTATTAAATGCGTAGGTATATTAATTAGTAAAATTGATTAAATAATAAAAATGAAAATACATATAATGAAATATTAGAATTTAAAAAATTTAAAAAATCATATAATGACATGTAATAAAAATGTTGAGGAAATAACATATGTCAAAAATAATTTTGATTTATTAAAGTAGATTTTCTATAAAAAAAAAAAGCCACATCACATGTTTTTAAATAATTGCATGCTACATAGATAAATATTTAATATAATCATTTATGACAGAAGGTAAAACGTCTAAGATTGAAAAAAAAAGTCAAAGAGTAGGTTTCATCATCCAAAATAATACTATATGATTAAATCGAAAAAGACAAAACATATTTAAACCATAGGTATACTTACAACGAATGCATTCGTTGTCTACGTGACCACTAACCATTATAGATAGTGCACCCCATCCCACTACTTAGTGATAACTAGTGGTTATGGTGGATTGTGGTACAAACCACGGAAGCCCACATCATATATATATATATATATATATATATATATATATATATATATATATATATATATATATATATATATATATATAAAATCAAAAAATAAGAGGGTTATAGTGGTGGGTATACCAACTTTGTAGTGGTTGTGTGTGGTGATAATGTGACATCTACCATTAAAATTGTTACTGATGGATATAACCAATCATCTTATATAATTTATCCTAAATACCATGGGCCGATCAATGTTATGTTTATCATGCCACAACAAACTTAATCTTTGAGTTTTTGTAGTTTGAAATGTTTGAAAAACCAAAAAATAACTTATAAATTAATTTTTAATAAAACTACTGTAACTAACATTTCAACGAAACTTTTGAAAAATTATAAAAGATATATCATTTATTAACTTTAAAAAATCAATATTACACATATCATTTTATAAATTATGTTACAATAAATTTATTAACTACTTTACTAAACATTATTATTTTCTACCAACTAACAAAGAGTACGTCAAATATATTTCAAATAAATAATAAAAAAAAAGGTTAATTACACGAATAGTCTCTTGTGTGGGTGCCAAAAAAACACGTTCATTTTTTATTTTCAAAAATTAACTTGGATAGTCCCTCTATAACTTTTTTCACTTAGGTTGTCCCTGTGGACATAAAATGACTATTTTACGTTTAATAATTTTTTTTCAATTTTATTTTATTTTTTTTAACATTTTTAGATTAAAAAAAAAAAGAATATAAATATCCACACCCTAACCCACCCCTTCCCCTTCCCTTTCCCTAGTTTCGTCCCACTCTTTCTCACCCTGTCATCTTCCTCTTTATTGATCTGACAACCACCATCGTTAACAACACCACCACCGGTCAACACTAACGCCGTCACCAGTAAACATCATCACCACCATAGCTCGACACCATCATATCTCTTTTTCACGTACTTCCCTTATAAAAATGTGCTTTAACCCACATATGTTGCTCAATTTTGAGACACCGGACAGAGTTAGGGTTTCAAAATCTAAACCACCCTAGATCTGGACATACAAAGAAGAAAAAGGACGATCATTTAGGAGAGAGGGCGATGGATCCATAGAAACCCTAACTCTGTTATAGTGTCGCATCATGTTTGTCATGTTCGAATTAATCGGGCCTAATGAAATTTTCCCACATATATATGCCATATCGTCCTAGTGGTAACAAAGTCTTAAACTAGTAAGTAGTTAAATAGTTTTCTCTTATCGGGTTTGGATCGCCTTGTAGATTATGTCTTTATGACTTATGAGGTACGGAAAACTTATGGTTAAGAGGCTATTTGGTAGGATCTGAATTTTTAATATCTAAATATTTAAGAGGTTCTGACTTTTCTAAAAGGGTCCGAATTTTAAAAAGCTGAATTTTAACATATTGTTTGGTTGGAACATTTGAATTGTTGTACATAATGATAAAAATGATAATTTTACCTTTATGTACTATTTTTTGTTGAATTCAACATTCCGATTTTATAAAATAACTGAACCAACTTCTTGAATATATATTAATATATATAAATATATATATATATATATATATATATATATATATATATATATATATATATATATATATATAAAAATTAATCGACAACCAATAAACAATCGAACCATAAATAATAAGCAAGAAAATACAAAAAGCAATAAACAATTGAACCATAAATAATAAATAAGAAATTATAAAAACTAAATCAATAATCAATAAACAAACAAAATAAAAAATGTTAAACCATAAACAATCGAATCAATAAAAAATTAACAAACAAAATAACAAATGTTAAACCATCAACAATCGAATCAATAAAAATTTTTAGAACGACAAAGATATAATAATAAAAATAGCAACCACTATTTGTAAATCGCCAATACCCTCATAATAGCAATCAACTTTACCAATGATCCGCAGTAATAGCAACCAATATTTTCTTGCATAAAAAAACACCGAGATTGCTCCATATGTCACCGCAACTGTATCTGCAATCGGGGATCTTTGTGTCATTGTCAGCCGTTGATGTTTCCCTGTGAAGATAAGCTTCAGTTGGGTCAATAGCACCACCCGAGCCGACAGAAGAAGATTCAAGACCTTTCACCTACAAAGCCATCCACCTTATATAAGAACTTCATACAACCTTATTAACAACAACAATAAACAGACTTCATACAGATTACATTTTCAGATTTCTTTCACAAAAAATTCAATTTCAGATCAGAGAAGAGAACTGTAAATAAATTCGATTTCAGACTTCATACAAATTTCAATCAAAGACTCGTGCTTACAATTTGATTAAGAAATTTGATTTCAGAAATTAACCCTGGTATAAAGTCAATTTCGAATACACAACCATTACCTGATGCTGTTGTCGACAAGTTTGACGGGGCTGGAGACCGGCAGTGGCTAGAGCGATGGTGGAGGGTTGTAGGTCGTCGGAGAGGGTTGGGAGGGAAAAGGAGACCTGTGATGGCAGGGAAGCAGCATGCGGCGGTCGGTGTGCATGTGACGGCGTCCTGCGAAGACATCAGTGGTCCTCTGTGAAGTCCGATAATGTTCATGGCTGAAAAAAGAGAATAGGAAGACGAGGGTAGAGATGGAAAGAAACGCGTGCTCTTTTTTTTTTTTTTTTTTTTCAGATGTGAGTCGTTCAGATATATTTTTCCAATTAAGATGATAAATTAAGGGGTTGTTTGGATAGGAAAAAATAGGCTGCTTATTGCTTAATCCCACCGCAATAATCAAATTTAAATATTTGGATAAGAGTCTTAAAAAATCCCCTTATTGCGGTAGGAATAAGTTAAATAAGCTGATTTTAATAAGCAAGGAAGAATGCTTATTGCTTATTGATCATTTTACTTGTATAAGCTGTTTTATTTGCCAAACATTTCAAATACTTATTATTTATTGCTTATTCTCACCACAATAAGTTAATCCAAACACATTTTAAAAAAATATTTATTCCCACCACAATAAACAAATAAACAATAAACTAATAAGCTAAAAACTATTTATCCAAACACCTCCTAAGTGCTAACCAAAGGCTTTATAGATTGGGAAAATGACTTAAAAGCCCAAAGAAGTTTCCAAACCGTTCAAAAAATCTCAATCATGTTTTGTCTGTTCAAAAAATCCCAACAAACTTAACATTTTGTCTAAAAAGCCCAACTAAGTTACACTTTCCTGAAAGTCAAATAAGAGAAATGAATAACGTGGCTTATTACCGTATCGGAAAACTGACTTGTTAAACCAACGAAGTTTCCAAAACGTTTAAAAAACACCAATCATGTTTTGACTGTTCAAAAAAAATCCAACGAACTTAAACAAAACAAGATTGGGATTTTCTAAATGGTTTGGAACTTTGTTGGACTTTTTAGACAAAAGGTTAAGCTCGTTCGGTTTTTTTGAACAGATAAACCATGATTGAGGTTTTTTGAATAGTTTGGAAACTTCATTGGGCTTTTAAGTCATTTTCCCTTATAGATTCAGTGGTGCTTATTTTTAAAACGCATTAAGAGTTAACCATAATTTGATAATTTCTATTCATCTATTACTACTACAAAGTTTAATTATATTTCATTTATGTTTTTTTTATATATAAAACTAGAGCAAACTCTTTCATCATAAGTTTGAATATGTTTTTTTAATCTTTACCACGTAAAGGAATTTTGAATAATTAATCATCATAATGTGTGATGGAAAATTCTTCACGTGTTCATCGACGATACCATTGACAAATAAACTTAATTAAATCATTCAGGAAGAAAAATCCAAACTGAGTATGCATGTCAGTTTCTTTCATGTATCAGATAAATCCAATTCATTGTTATATTATAAGAATCTATTCGCACATAACGAGAATTGAACATTTCCTTTATACAATACGATGATATATGCCATTAGTTTCGGTTAGGGCTTTAAATAGATATCTAAAGTTTTACATATTTATTCGTATTTTATTTGATTTGAATGATTGTCAATACTCAAAAAGATTTGATACCCAAAAGTTTTTTTTATTTAATTAATAATTTACTGTTATTTTTATAGTATGCATATCAAATATTTTTATATATGAATTGATGTATGGTCGTAAGTTCCAAGTCTATCAATGCCAATTTAGTACTTGCAAAAGGCCAAATATGGCCTTTTAGTACAGATAACTTGTGAGTATTAAAAGGTTTATGTAGTTCATAATTTGAATTTCTAAGTGTTTAATGGAAAATTACATAATAATAGTACAATATCTACACCTATTTACTTGGAAAAAAGTGCCACCTAATTAGTTTTTGGGATGGAAACATAAGATTCGAACATAAAATAACTGCATTATAAAATGTTAAAATCTTAAGTGATGATCATGAAATCACTATCATGGGAGTTCAAATCTATGAGTTTATTTTCGTATAGTACAAAATAAGTTATAACTTTATATCAGTAAAAAAGAATATAATTTTTTTGGGATATAATCATATAAAAAGAAATGATCATTAGAAATTGAGAATTTAATCAAAATAAATGTGTTTGGAAAATTAAACATTTTGTTCATAATGAACTCTACTAAGTTTATATCACATTAAAAGTTTTTTTTTGACAAAAAAATAAGTTTGGAACAAATTAAAATTACTTTGGAATTGACAAAAGTGCACAAATGGTCCCTGTGGTATGTCGAAAATTGCCACTTTGGTCCAAAAAGGTTTGGACTAACACCACAGGTCCAAAGTTTTCCTTTTCTTGCGAGTTTGGTCCAATCTGTTTTGAATTTTTATAAAATGTTGATTTTGCCCTTTGTATTTTCATTATTTATTTATTTTCTAAATTACAAAAACTAAAAAAGGAAAAAAAAAAACTATTTGTATTATCACCCCACCCCCATATTTTTCTCTCTCCCATTCAGAAAAAGGAAACATCACTAGATTCCGATGGCTGTCGGAGCACTGTTGTCCGACCACTAAAACCACCGTCGACGTCAGAACCTAGAACTATCTGGCGCTGACTTTGCCGGAGAAAAAAAAACTGAGATCTGAACCTCCAGAGACCATCATTCTTCTTTCTTTTTGTTGCTACGATGGCCATCTCTCTCTTTCTCTCCCTTCTACTGTTATGAACCGCCTGTCGGACCATCCAAATCACCACCGATGATGAAGATCTAAACATCTCGCCGCCTCGACAGAGATCTAGATTCGCTGGTTGTTCGACAAGAAAAAGAGAGAGAAAGAGGGTGAAAACAGATCTGAAAACTTAGGGTTTCGTAAAATTGGAAGGGTGGCGGCGCTAGGGCTTTTACTATGTAGACACCTCATTGGAGAAGAAGAGAGACGAGTAGTTTGATGGTTCCGACGTCTAAAACTAGAGTTTTATCGAGCCACAGACGTCATCGTTATCGCCGATGACGAACAGATCGAAGGCGTCGTCAGGTGAGAAGATAAAAGACAACGACGATGATGGTTCCGACGAAAAGCAAATAGAAAGAGGGAGAGATTGAGTCCGGTTTCCGACAGATCTACTTCGTCCTTAGGAGGGTTTCTTGCTTGTCGAAAAAACAATTTCTCAGATTTTGCAATTGATTTCTAGATTTCTGGCAAACCCGACTCAGTTCATCCTTCGTCCTTCGCCCTTCGCCCATTTCTCAGATCTATGGCACCAGAAACCCTAGCCTCAAATATCGAAACCCGCTTCGTCGGAAGCCTCCATCGCTAGTGGTGGTGGCTGGTGGTGAAGGAGATGAGCAACTTTTTGTGTGAAACGAGAGAGAGAGAGAGAGAGAGAGAGAGAGAGAGAGAGATTGCATTTTTTTCCGTTATAAAAAATCATAAAAATAAAATAAAAAAGGAAAATTTTCTTTTAATCAGAAAAAATCTTTAAATAATAAAAAAACTGAAAAATGAAAAAGCAAAGGCAAATTCCTCATTATGAAAAAGTTCATAGCAAATTGGACCAAACTTGCAACAAAACGAAAAGTTTGGACATCTGGTGCTAGTTCAAACCTTTTTAAACCAAAGTGGCAATTTTAAGCAAACCATAAGAACCATTTGTACAATTTAGTCTTTGGAATTTCAAAGGATTTCTGAAATCCAATGGATCATTCTACAATTTCGAGAAAATGCTTTGATTTTTTTAATAATATTTAACGTAAAGTAATAAAGAAACATAACAAATAGGAAGTAGATACAATAAAACAAACTTAAAATTTGACATTTGATTAAAAACGGATAATATTAGAAACTTCAAAATAGTCGATATATATATATATATATATATATATATATATATATATATATATATATATATATATATATATATATATATATATATATATATATATATATATACTTCATGGAACACGGTAACAAACACATATATTAGAAAATATTGGATTTTCTTAGAAAACATATAAATATTCTTTTACATATTCAAAGAAAGGTTTACATTCAAAAATATTCTTATGAACTTACCAGCTTTAATGCTGATACTCTTTTCAAAACCGTTTGTATTCTCAGGAAATCAGTAGACAAGTACTCCCACAGCTTTTGAGAAGACGGAGCATATAGAATCACGTCTTTTATTTTTTTTTTTTATACTTCTCGTGTATACAAACCATGTATCAAACAAATGTAAATATTTTACTTATTCAATGTAATGGTTGTCTTTACTTTGATTACTATGATGCAATTGTTGTAACACTCTACCTGACGTCCTCCACCCTTGAATGTTTCCGCCATTTCGGTTTGAGGGTGTGACAGATTGGTATCAGAGCTACTGTTTATAGTGATCTAAGTATACCGAACCTTACATGGTATACAACTATAAACGCTAAGGGGTCGAAGCGCTCTGAAACTAAAAGTATACTTTTAAAATTTAAGTATTTTACAAGAAGTACACAAGAATACCTACATACTAGAAATCAAGGTTGTAAAAATCGATCGACGTTAGCTAGTCGGTGGACTGGAGTTAAGGGATTAATCGACTAGGCGGAGATTAATCGGAGGATTAATCGGGGACCATTAATTGCTAATTTGTTAGATTTTAAAAAATTAAATATGACTAATATCATATAAAAGTTCATAAATATCACTAATATCATAACAAAATAGGTTAATATGATAAATACAACACTAATCATACCTCAAATAGTTTCTATTGAGATATAACTTCTTCAAAGTGTTAAAATTTCTTCGAGTTCTATTGTTTCAATCATTTTGTATGCATGGATTAATCGCTAGGCGCTCTCTAATCGGTCGAGTAGCGCCTAAGGATTAATCGGAGATTAATCGGGACCTAATCGAGATTTTTACAACACTGCTAGAAATATGTAAGCATAAGTACCATACTTAATTTACAAGTGTGTTGTTTTGCAATTAAGAAAACTAGTTTGAAGATGTCCTCACTTTGCCAGTGATGACGCTTAACCAGGTAGATTCTGTATTTTCAAAAAGATAGTTTGTAGCCTTTAATGTATTGAGACTCCACTTATGTAAGTAAATTCTCGTTCTTAAAATATTATACATGGTTTTAAATGTGTATAAAACTCCTTTTGGTGTGTGTATGTATGTGTGTGTGTGTG